TGGATGGATGGATGGATGGCTGGCTGGCTGGCTGGCTGGCTGGCTGGATGGCTGGCTGGCTGGCTGGCTGGCTGGCTGGCTGGCTGGCTGGCTGGCTGGATGGATGGATGGATGGATGGATGGATGGCTGGATGGCTGGATGGATGGCTGGATGGATGAAACCCGCTTTGGTCTTGTCTCAGCTCTGACTAGCCATTGGCTCATCAATCCAGTCAAAAACACTCTGTTTCTCCAAACTGGGGTGATTTAAAGGACTGTCTACAACAGGTAAGATAATTACCGATCATAACCTTTCTACAGAACCACTTCTTCATTTATGTCCCTAATCGCACCACTTCTTCTCAGATGAAAAAAAAAAGAAAATAATTTTAGAGTAAAGTCTGTAGCAAGCATTTGAGTTGTTTGGGTTAGATTTGGGGCTTGAATGTAAAAACATCTGGAAATGTTAAAATAGTGTGAAACTCAGGTAACAGGGATGACTGCAGGTGTAGATGTACTTGTTATATGGGACATGCTCATCACTGCATACATTTGAGTTTTAAAACTAACAATAGTTTTACTGCTGCCTCAAGTGCTGGCCTGTCATGATTACTTTTAATAACAGATAGAAGTTTCCTCAAAATAATTGACATAAACAACAATTTGTGTCATTTTGGGGCCACTTTACATCGTGCGTACAGTGATAGCCAACCAAGAACTACCAAACTAATGCCTATTTGCCTCCTATTTAGGATACAACAGGCAGGTACGGTAAAAATAAACAGCAAAAATGTATCTCGTCTCGTCATTTGCTTCGTGCTGTACGCCACATCTCATGACGGGAGCAAAAACAGTCTATTCAGGTGTCAGGCTGCCTAAAATGTTGGCGACAGTCTGAAGCAACCAGACACAAATGTTAACACACCGGCACCGCCGATGTATTTTCTCCAACACCTCAAAATGTCAGTCATTATAATGACCTTATCATAAACTAGGCTGATGATGTAATTACCATGGCAGGCCTAGTTAAATGTGTTTGTGTTTTAAAATCATACCAGGTACCCCATGTATGCAGAAATTCTATCTTCAGGGGGGGAAAGTTGCCATTTTTTATATTTGTTTAGGTTTTTGGTGTGTTTGCTGCTGTTTTGCAGCTAATATCAGTTCTATATTCTCACAGGACAGACAGGTATGCATGCCTTTATTTCCACCCGTGGCAGCTGCAGGGCATATTTCTCCATAAATTAGAAGGTCGGACATGTTGTGAGCATTGAATTTGCATTTGATGAGCTTACATTTCTTCCTGTCTTGCAAAAAAAAAAAAAAAAAAAACTGCTTATGTTATAGAGTTTTTGACCAACTAGATTGCAGGGCTTCTTACTTTTAGATTTTATGTGATGTGCAAAAACCTGAAAGGAAACACGTTGCACAGATGGAATATTTACTTGTTCACCAGCTTGTTGCTTCAGTTGTGTAACAAACACTTTTCACAAGCTGCAGAGCGTCCAGAAGCATTTTCTATTATCTTTGCGTGACTTTTGTTGCATTACCTTTTCTAATTAAACACCGCTCAGTGTCCCATTTGCAACAAAATATAGTGCAGCTGATGCATTTAATTGTGACTCTTGACTAAAAATGCCTTTATGCAAACAATGTGCAGTTCAGTTTGCTGTTGTTGTGTTGACTTTAAAGTGGAGGACTAAATTAAAGGTGGTCAAAGTGATGCAGCTAATGCTTCCAACATGAATGCACTCTGCAGACTGATGCCGGTAGCCATGAATTACAGACGAATGACGCGTTGCTCTGCAAATTATTTAACTTATTGAAAGGAGCGTGTCAAAATAAAAACCGCAATTACACCTGCTTGATTCATGGCGAACACTTTTTGAACAATTGCATTGAAAAAGGCAGCGATTTATTTAAACGAAGGGGGTGTTTTGGCTGGAATGTGTTCAGTGCTGCCATACTTTAATTTGCAGTAATGGGACGTTGTGAAAACAGTGTTTGATTCAAATAGCGGGACACGTGTCAGGAGAGACGCTGAGAGCCACACGGTGATGATAGTCATTTTATTGGGCATTTTATCAGCTGCCACTCATAACCTCCCCCCAACAAACAACTAGATCGGACAGGCGGTTTTGTGCATGAATATATAATCACATATCATCGCCGTTCTGAGAGGAGTTGTCAGAGCCCGTCACTGTCTGCCACACAGTTATGGCATGCAGCTAAACACAAAACAACAAAAGCAGCACAGTCAGGATGCTGCCTGAGTGCTAAAAGGGTGTTTAAAAAAAAAGACCGATTTCTGTGATCATCATGTGACTGGAAGTTCAGCATATCTGAAAGACAAATGAAGATGATGTATTACTATGTGATCAACTACACATTTGGTTCAGTTCCAGGAAGATATTACATCATAAAGAAATATAAACCAAAAGCTCAAGAGAGAACTAGCCCTTTTTTTGATCATAAAACTAACAATCAACTTCTAATAAAATTGATGGGTGTGTAATTTAAGGGTTACCTCCATTGGGATTTCTTCCTGTCAAAACCAGGTAATAAAAGAATCAAAAAAACTGAGTTGATGCTTAAGAATAGTAAACCTTATATCTGATATTTAAATGTGAACATGTTGCTTTTAGTTTGTTCTCAGAAGTTGCAATTTAGAAGTTCTAAGTCAGACAAATCAACTGGACTGGGCCATGAAGCTGAAATTTCAACTCACAAAGTTGAAGTTCTCGAAGTTCAACCTCCTAATCCAATATGGCCGCCTCACATATAAAAAGTTGTGATAACTGCAGTGATATAGTATGTTACATTTCACTTCTGTCAGTTTGTATCTCATCAACTCAGTCGCACACACACAGAAGAGTATTACCTAACTGTGTTTATGAAACTTTATTTATGACATCAAGAACATTTAAAGTGTTTTAGTTCTTATTTTCATTACAATGTTTCCTTCCTATGACAGTGTGGTCAATAAGAGAAAATGTGGAGGGAAATAAACAATAGCAAAAACATTTCTACTGGCGGACAAATTGACCTCATTTCTTAAAATGAATTGTTAAAATCAAATAGTTTTCATTTGACACTAGTTGTGATTCTTGACCTGCAATTGTGTACAGTGGCGGCTGGCCAATAGAGGGCGATAGGATGCCACCCCATCACTCACCACATTACCTTGAGTAAGACATAAAAACATTAAATAAAAATTAAATAATAAAATAAAATATTTCAAAATATATGTTTTTTTTTTTTGGGTTGTGTAAGATAAATATTTTAAAGTTAACGATGAGTAAAGTTGTTTCGTTCAAAAACGTCTGATTGTTGATGACGTATTTCCGCCCTGGGGCACAAAAAGCTTTGCCCATAGACCCTCGTTAAAAGTTGCACATGCGCATTAGCTTCTCTTCAATACAAGAGAATAGGACCATTCTGGGCGCACCTCTCCTGCGCCCAGAGCTGAATGCACGGTACTGATCGTGCTTCCGGAATACAATGTGACACTCACAACCAGGCTATGTGTAGAGGCTAGCTGCTGCAGGTAGGCATTAAGTCAGCGAAAGTCCTGTATGTAACGTCTATGTTGCCATAAACAGATGTCTCTGTTTGTGAAAAAAACTTCAGCTGACTGTGTATTCTGAAAGTGGGAACTGGTGAGTTTGTTTCTGGAGCTAGCATTATAGCGCTAGTCTCCAGGTTATTGTATTGGGTTCTGTGATAAATCAATGCTATTGCTACATTTATTTGAATATGCTTATAGAAAAAAATAATAATCAAACATTAATACTTTTCTATACTAAATCTCACTGATGGTATTACTATTTCTGAACACCTGCATTTGTATTGTTCTGGAGAATGAAAAATAAGCCTCTTGCAATAAGTAAATAGCTCCTAATGTTTACATTGAAGCATTTAAATTGAAGGTACATTGAAATGGTGAAATGCTACTGCTATATGTGCTAAGGTGCAATATTACAAGCTTTAATATTAGGAATATTTAAGAGTACTCAAATAATGAGCTTGATTCTATTTATATTATGAACTTATATTACTATAGTAAATGATGATAAAACATGTACATGTACTGCTGATGGTTTTTGATATTGATAAAACCCAGGATTATTGATTATTAGGTCTGCTTCATACAGGCCAGATTCCTGTTTCCATGTCCGTTGCTGAGCTGACCAGACTAGATGGTGAGCTAACCCTAGTTTTGAACCAGGAGATGGTTGAATCCCCATAACTCCTTCCATTGCGATATGGGGCGCCTTAGGCCTAGTTACAATCGCATTCTGGACCGTGTGTGTGTATATACATACTGTACACAGTATACTGTATATATAGCCACTTGTCTTGAGCCTGGTTCTGTTGGAGGTTTCTTCCTCATGAGGGAGTTTTTCCTTTCCACTGTCGCCTTCATGCTTGCTCAAGATGACAATTCTGCAATGAAGTTAAACCCAAACAGTCTGCTCCTCAAATAAATGTTATTTACTTTATATTTGTTTATTCAGTGTCTTGAGATGACTTGAAACTGAATTGAATTATTGTTAGCCTTAGAGCCCGAAGTGTTGTATCATGCTGAAAAATACTGCATACCTCAGCCGAGAGTCTAAACCTCAGAGGTAAAGGTAACAGAGAATATAAATCAGATGTCACGACAATTATATCAGCTATCCACTCAGTTTTATTATATTTTTAGTTTAAAAATGTAAAATGTCTAAAACTATTTTTTAATGTTTTTTTTTTTATTCAACTATACAGTAGTTGTGTTCCTGAAGGAACTACAATCCCACCCTACAAACTAATCAGCCAAAACATTAAAGCCATAATTATAGGACAGTGTTCTCCTGGGAACCTTCTGTTAATCTGGACGTTCTTTTCACCTGTGCCTAATGTAAACACTTTTGCACAGTACTTGACTAAATGTTATAATCTTCATACTTTTTCTTTACTCTTTGGTTGCGTTTGCACTTATCGCCGATCTAGTACTTGATTATTTTCAAAAGCGCATTATCTTGTGTTTTCTAAGGAACTAAACTCTGGTCTGTGGATCGCTCACACATTAAACAAACCCTGAAGGAATGAACCATTGTTGGTGCGACACTACAACCCTCAGGTTCTGTGTCAGGCCTTTGCTACATTTTACATTTACACCATAATCTAAAACTCTGGCCTGAAAGCAATGCTAGGCTTTGATTTAAACTTCTTCATTTTTATGTCCAACACTTTTTCCTTTGCCACTGCTCACTCTCCTCATTTTGTAAACACACATTGCACATGCTAGGTACAAAAACTGGACATAAAATGAGTCAATATAAAGCTAAAGTAAAAAATTAAAATAAAAAAGAACTATTAATACCACTTTGATTTTTTTTTTATAGCTCCCAGAAAACAAAGTACAGTAGTCCCTCGCTACTTCGCGGTCCAACTTTTGCGGACTCGCTCTTTCGCTGTTTTTCAAAGTGAGATTGGACATGACACACAAATGGCTGATTGTCCAATTGCCACAAAGTCGGCATGGAATTTTTTATTTAAAATGAATTATTTTAAATTATTTAGCACCTGCTGCATCTGTGTGCAGTCCACATGGGCTGGGAGAAACTCTCTCCTGCAGCGTGTCATGATCTCTGCAGCGGAGAAGTGGGCGTGGCCGAGAGCGCTGGCAGGTGACGGAGCGAGTGGAGGTCATGACATTCTGTGCTCTTTTAGAGAGTTTAAAATTTAGAAACATTGTTTAGAATATTGCAAGAGTGTGGGAAGGGTTTAAAACACCTTTATATACAGTATATATTTTGGTTTTTCACTTATCGTGGGGGAGCTAAGAACGGAAACCCCTGCGATAAACAAGGGATTACTGTATGACTAATGGGGGTTTAAAACTTTTGCACTGTACTGCAGACCTGTGTGACAAACAACATCTTCAGCAGGACAGTGTTGCAGTGGAGTACTTAAAGTATTTGTTTCTTCGCTGTATAACTTTTCAGTCTCTTGCACATCCCCTGGATCAATTGTTAGATTCTTATTTTCTTGCCTTCTTTTCTCCAATAATGTTCTCAGTGTCGTGTGAGGTTTTTGTCTTTCTCCTTCTCACTTCTGGTGTAAAAGCCTACAGGAAGGTTTGCCCTCCATTTTTGGGGTCTTTTTGTGCATCCCAGCTGTGCCTTTTTCCTCATTACCTCCTTGGCTATTCCCCTTTTGCTTTGTCGCCTCCAACTAGGTGACTCTGAGCAGTGGGATGAGTGACCTTAGAGTGGGTTGCAGCAGGTAAACCATTAATAGGAAGAGGACGGATCACTAAGCTTCTTTTATCAGTTAACAGCAAGTTCTGGTTTTGTCTTTTCCTCTGATGATGATGAGGTCGAAGGCGTTTCAGGGGCGTGGTTTTGTAAGATCTGTTTTTATTGCAGTTCAGGTTCCTATGGTCCTTCAAGATCTCATCTAGCACTGCATAAAAACAAAAAACTGGTTAATGCTGTGGTATCAGTGTGTGTGCATTGGGTTTTGGCAGCTTTCTCACCATGAACACGGTTATAAATGTTGCTCACTCCACTCTGGCTCCACCTCAGGTCCACAGCTTGTCTCACGGAGTCTAAAAGCCCAAACACCTCACACAAGGAATGAAGCAAGAAGACATCTGACGAAACAAAAGGAAGCACAAGTCAGCTGTGAAGCTTGAGTAACAACTATTAAACTTTAAAGATTTGTTGAAAATTATGTGTATCACACTAAATTTAAAAGTGGTGTTTTAGATGAAGACCATTTCAAACTATGGTTTATCCTGAAAGCCTCTATGGGGTTGTCCACGCAGGAATGTTTTTAGTGACTACACTAACATGTTTAATTGTTTCAGCCTTGAGTCCACATGGAAGCAGCATTTTAGGAGCCCCTTATTTGTATTTTTTGAAAATGGGTTTCAGAGTGAGAAAAATCTTGAATTGCAATTGCATTTTTGTGTAGACAGCCATCGCTCAGAAAACGATGTCATATTCCCACATGTAAGCACACCCACTATCCGAGGTTGCCCTCTTCTCCTTCTTGTGTTTATATTTTGCACTCAGCATGCAAGCTTTATGTATGTATTATATTCCATGCCTTTTTTCTTGTTTTTGATGTGTCTTCATGGCAGTGTTACAGCTCCACATCTGGCAAAGAAAGTGAAGGTGATATCTCCTGAGTGAACAGGTTTGAATTAAGTGTTCAGACAGTAATCATTAAACTGACATCTACAACGGATTTTAAAGTCAACCTAATTCAAAATGATCGCCACAGCCAGCTGTGCACACAAACGGCTATATAAGTCAGAGTTTTCCAAATACTGAGCTAAAATTTGGACTGTTGAGAATCGCCCCCAACACACATTTTGAGCACAACACGTAACACAGCATCTTTGCTTTAAACCATGGCATTAACTAAAGGAAGGAGATGTGTCCGTTAGCAAAATGTCTCCTAAATCACCCAATAGTTTTCAATGAAACTATCATGAAGTAATTATTTCTTGAACATCTGCAACTGATTATCTTTTGGAGTCAACCCAATCCAGGCTAAGTAAATTGGCCTGCATAAAAATGGCTACACCTCAGTGATGGTTTAAAAATATTGTGCTGAACTTTGGAGTGGTAGTAGCTTTACATGCTTCTAGGGCTCACATACAAATGTGTGTATGCTTAGATGTGTATGCATGCTTGTATATAGGTTAATCCTGAATGTATTACTCCCTACCACCTTGTGCATGTGCATACTGTGTTTTTCCAGATTTGTGTATTCTTCTTCTTTTTTAATGATTTCATATGTGATTTTTTTCTGTATATAGAGCATGCTACTGGATGCCTCAAAATTTCCCCTGGGATTAATAAAGTATCCATCTATCATATACCAAGATCACACATGATGTTGTATGAGAATGCACATACACTAGTGTTATTTTCAAGCTCTGACCTAAATGGCTACAAACCACCCTTAATTACCAGTGTTTTGGGGTGTTTTTTAGTGTTTCTGTGTGGACAAAGGCATTTCTAAAAACTGTGTAGCCTCTACAAGTACTGTTTAAATAACGACATATAAAAAATGTCCAAAAACTATGTGTACATAAAAACAAGGCTTCAGATCACCACTGTGGGAACTTACCAGACTCCTGCAGGTTGGCCTTCTCACTGCAAAGCTCCACTCCTCGAAAAGTGGTGACCAGTTTATGTTGGAGACTGGACAGAACCGCCTTCATCAGCCCAGAGTCTGAGACACGCCTCCAAAGACTGAGCACTCCTTCTAGAGATTAGATGTAAAGCACAGCAACAAAAGTGGAGGCATTTATAGACGTTTTTCCTCAGTTAAGAGTTTAAAATGGCCGTAGAAAAATAAGAAAAAGCCATAAGGGCACCATTATAAATGTACTGGTGTGAACACTTCTATACTGTGTGCTGAGGGAGAGAAAAAAAGTGCAACTGAAAAAAAAAGCACACTTGAGATAAGTAAGGTGGAGAGGAGAAGCAAGGGGAAATGACTGGGTGACATTTGAAGAGAGCAGAAGTACTGACAGAGTAATAATAGATGGAGGAGAGAAAAGACAGAGAGCCGAGTCAAGGTTAGAGGGAAAAAAATAAAAATATAGATAAGATAGCAAAAGAAGATGTTGGATATTATTTTTATCTAGACTGGTCCTATGGTTTTGATCTGCTCAGAGACGGGATTATAATGAAATTATGACCCGGTTCTGACTGGATTAAACTGGGGCAGTAGCTCTAAGAGAGTCTCCCTGGGATTTCAATATCAGTCAAGGAATAGAGTTTAATCTGCTTGCCACATCACGTAGAAGGCTTTTGAAGCACTGTCTCGTATTTCCTAACACATCAGAACCACATAAGATCCACTGAGATCACACTTAGTCACGCCCCCTCATACACTGACAGGTTGAGCTCCTCTTCTGCAAAGGAGGAGTCCAGGACCCTATAAATGAGTAATAACACGGGACATCGGGATTCTTCCGGGTTTGTGAACGCATCACAGACCGGAGAGACCAGCGCTGTAACTGTAACCTTTTTCTGCCTTGATTTTAGTACAACTGGTAAAACTGAATTGACGTTTCCTTGATTTATTGATAATGAGAGTTGCCACTTCTGAGGGAGATTCGAGCCGGGGGGAAAAGACGTGGGCTGAAGGGGGTTTCCGGGTCCGGTGACCCGCAGCCAGCACCCGTCTTTAACAAAGATCAACTCTCAAAGAGAGGACATTAAATAAGTGACAGATGTGGAGAGGAAAGAGATTGTTAGTTTTAAGTTTAGTATTTAAAAAATATTAAGTGTTGGATGGATGGATGGATGGATGGATGGATGGATGGATGGA